CAGGCATAGCTGTACGACAACGCATTCTAGCCTATACGAAGTATTGCCATATCCGTCGTCTTGTCAGCATCTGAACATATAAGTTGAACATCATCAAGATAACTCACCTGGTTCAATGCAAAAACACACGAGCAGTGGATAATATGCATAGCACAGAAGCACCACGCTCCCACGTTGGAACTCGTGGCAAACAACGACATTTGAATAGCAAGATTCTCGTCGGTGAAACAAAGACTGTCAGGAAGCGATTCGTCCCACGCCTTCGGAAGCGATCAATATGCTAGATCTGTATGAACCCTGGAATTTCATACTTACGTTGAGTTTGGTGTCAAGATCCAACAATGCGTTGACGGGATGTCTGCCGGACTCGCGCTCTAAAAATAAAATTGAATGAGCACATGCGGGCTCCCGCGAAGCAACTAACACTCACTGTTGAATTCATCCATGGTCTTCTCTATCCTCTCGTGTATAGAGAGGACACGAATTAACTGCCCGGTCTCGGATCTCGATGAAGGACTGGGTTTGTCCAGATATTCTTGACGAATCAAATGAGCTCAAGGCTGAAACGATAGCTTGGCGACCAACCTGGGACAGCATCGTGTACAGTGAACAAGAAGGTTGTCTCATCTACAGGGAGACGCAATTTCAATTGCGATTCCTCTGCTAAGATAGGACGTCGGTAGAGAACAGACCCCAGAGCATCGGATACATGTATGAGCCAGAAAACCCTACGCGCGCATTCCCGCTCGATGGACGCATCAATGAACTCCAGTGAAGGAGTAGGTGTCAGGATTGGATTGTCAGCCTGATGCACGCCCAGTTGTTCAAGGATATCAAGTGCGTATACTGCAAAGTACATGGCGTAAGCGCCGACAAACCAAGAAATGGTAACTTTCCATACCATGATATTGCCCTGTCCAGGATGACTTGGCCATTCGATCATGCAATTGTAGCAAACATAGAGCCTGGGCAGTTGCAAGATTCTTCTCGCAAATCAAGTTTTGCCCTTTATCAAACATAATCGACATTGCCTCTGAGAAGAACACCTCTCCAGCAAATCTTGAACCCCCCTCCTTGAAACAAGGACGCTGCGAGAGAGGCGCGGCAAGGGCACATATTGAAAGAAGAAGGTAAGAAGGGACGAGACCGTGAGATAGGGCATGATGGAATGAAGGCTCGTGGATGATCATACGCTGAGGTTGGCGGTGTGCAAAGAACACTGCACCGACGTATTCATTAGTGTCAGCAGTGTACCGCTATGTGGGGTAACTTACGATGCACGAGCTCTCTTGTGAGTGACGGGTCACGCTCCAAAGAGCGCTGAGTGCTTGGCAACGAGGGTGGAGCCAAGCCTCTGAAAGACGTCTCAACGGGAGACGTCGACTGACCAAGGTCTGGCCTGAACCGCTTGCGCGATGGAATATCTTCATCAGGGTCGACTTGGGTCCCAAGTACCTCGTCTTGCTGTAGTCCATGGACAACGAAGGATGATTGGTTACCCTGGATATTTTCCAGGTATGTGACACACGAACCCTGACGCGGATCGGGTGGTGCGTCTGTGTTACCCCCTTTGCGCGGCCTAGGTGCAGGTACAGGTCTGCCCGAAGCGTCTGTGTACGTGCATTTCTTGGAGGCGAAGTAACTAAAAACATGAATGAAACGACAGATTTGGAAACGTCCAAACGTTTTGTTTGGTGACGTACCAGTTGCTGCAAGGAGCTGAAAAAAGAACAGTCAGAATTAGCATAGTAGCATGGAAGCTGTTATGGAATACGTACCTGTTCCGTCACATCGTCGTTTGCTTTTGTGGCAAGCATCACACGCCTGTGTAATAAGACGCTTGGTAGGCATCCCAAACGAGTTTAAGGGTGCATACCTTTGCTAGGCGTTTGCGCTTTGGACCCTTCATGAATGCAATATTAGTGTCGGCCCTATCAGGATCCTGGGGAGTGTCGATGAGGAAACGGGAGCCATCCGGAGGGGGTTGGTTTGGGGGAGCAAAAGTGATTGCCTGTATCGCCGGTTGCTGAAGAGAGCGAGCGAAGTGGTCCATTAAAAGGCAAATAATATGGGACTGATTATGCCAGACGACGAGGAGACATACACAAGAGGTGGAGAGGGAGGGAGGAAAGAGGAATAGTCGGCGTCTAGTACTAGAGAAAGACGCGAAGAGGATATGAGTTTGAGTTGGTTGTTGGAGTTATTAAAAGGAGAGATACAAGTCCCCGGAAGATTGAAATGACAATTTTGAAAAGAATAATTTTAAAAAAGATAACTCACCTAGCAAACTGTGGCTAGGTAGATAATAGTTACTTAGTGTGAAGAGATTGTAGACCGTGGAACGCACCAGTACTTAGTAGACTCACAAACCGCTCACGGCAGTTGGAGGAAGCCTTGCAATAAACCGATCAGTCAATACAAATCGAGCGAACCCGCCGGCCGCATCCGGCTTTTCCCACTTCCTCGCGCCGCCGGCTTAGTTACACCCTGCTATTACGACCGATCCTGCGGTATACCATCAAATACAACCATACACGCCCAGTTATATTACATTTCATATTATTAATATTACGGTCACGAAGAACCAGCTAAAGGCCCCCCCCACCCGCCAATTAAACTTACAGATAAGCGAAACGGCAGGTTTCGGCGGCTTTCCATTCTTCTGTTTTCTTTACGTACCCAACGTGCCTCATTTTCATGCCGCCGGTCATTACTTAAAAAACAGAATTTCAATATTTTGTGGTAAAAATTCCGACCACAATTCCGGCGGCCATTGGCACCGCACGCTGTTCGGTACAACCTATTATTGCGCAATATATTCTGATTCGAACGTTCCAACAGAATTGCCTCATTATTACGGTGCATCTGCTCGCGTGTTTTCGTACAGGAACAACATTTCGTAACGTACTTAGTCGAAAAGACCGAAGCCCATGTCGTCGTCCGATTCCTCCTACGATGTCAAGATTTAATTCTCGTTCCACAAAATGCACAATAATAGTACTAACCTTCTCCTCCTTCTTTTCTTCCTTCTTCTCCTCCTCAACGGCAGCAGCAGGTGCTGCACCACCGGCTGACGGAGCAGCAGCGGCAACGGCGCCACCAGAAGGAACCTAAGCATTGCGACCAATCAGCCCCTGCTACTTGTATATAACCTGATCGAGACTCACGGACGACAGCTTAGCAGAACCCTCAGCAATCAACTGCGGACAAATACGTCAAAAACGGGTGCTGTGAAGCATAATCGGGAAAAAAATCTTACAGCATTGATGTCCTTATCCTCCAGCTCGGAGATAAGTTTTTCGAGCCTGTCATCATCGGCCTCTATCCCGACAGCACTCAACACCTTTTGGACGTCGCCAGCCGAGGGAGAGGCATTGCCACCGATTTGGAGGAGAAGATAAGCAGCAATATGACGCATCTGGTCAAATCACAGAAGTTAGCGTGTTCTACAGGTGTCTCATACGCGAGGATATTCGAGACATACTTTAGACGAGTGTGATTCACAAAAATATGTGTAGGACGGGAGTGCGGGCAGCTACAAATCACTGAAAATATGTATTTAAAATTCCATTCAAGCCCTGCGCAGAAACACAAATCATACCTTTAATCCTCAAGGGAAGACCTGTAGATTCTATCCGACGACGTTGATGTTGTTGTTCCCCTCTAATCTTCCGTCAAACTTCAGATTGGTACTATACAGCACCACGTGGTCAGATTCAGCCACAATTTCTATATTTGATTGTTTTTCGACTCCGCCTCAGGATTGCCGAAATCCTTGCTCGCTGTTATCCACGACAACCGCAAGACTAATTCACGACGCAACATGGTGCGCATTGTCCTCGGAAGTAGCAAGACAAACGCTGATTTCCGCCTTAATGATAGGCGGATTCATCGGTTACTGACCCCTCGGTCGCTGCTGAGCTCAAGAAGAAGAGAACCTTCCGCACGTTCTCCTACCGCGGAGTTGATCTCGACAAGCTCCTTGATATGAACAATGAGGAGGTGAGTCTTTACCGCGGAACCTCCCATTCTCTGTGCTAAACCTTGAATCTACAGTTCGTTGAAGTATGCATCTCGCTTTCAGTCGCCATTGCCTTAACCTGATCCACATATTTTCTCAATGATAGCTCGTTCACGCACGTGCCCGCCGTCGGTTCGGTCGTGGCCTCAAGCGCCGCCCCATGGGTTTGATTAAGAAATTGCGCAAAGCTAAGAAGGAAGCTCCCCCGAATGAAAAGCCCGCAGTCGTCAAGACCCACCTCCGTAACATGATCATCGTTCCTGAGATGATTGGCAGCGTTGTTGGTATCTACAACGGCAAGGTTTGTATTGTACTAACCCTTTTTGCGATGCACGACTGAAGATACCACTACAAGGTATTCAACTCCGTCGAGATCAAGCCTGAGATGACAGGCCACTACCTCGCTGAATTCTCGTGTTCGTACCGACCCGTCAAGCACGGTCGCCCTGGTGTGAGTGTATTGTTCTTATATCTTTGATGATGTCTCAATGTCTTTTGCACAGATCGGTGCCACGCACTGTAAGTTTACATGGGACTGCTTGCGGAAATCGAACTTCATACTCAATATTTTCTCTCACAGCGTCTCGTTTCATTCCTCTGAAGTAAGGCACTGGGTTCTTATATCTTTTGCATGTCCCTCCATTAGCTTTACTACCTCAAAATATATGCGTATGCCTATATGTCATACGAAACACATGCTAGTGTCACTTTGTAATGGTCGGACGCAAGGACATCCGAGTCATCGTCTGCATGCAAGAGTCGAGCATCATTGGCCCCGCGGGGCCGAACAAATGAATGAAAGTTACAAGATAATGTTTGGGTTGGTTAAATTCATTCAAATTGCGTACATTCGAATGCACGGGTATAATGAGTATACTGCGAAGTATTCGTCCGTGTCATACTGATAAGTGAAACCGCACGGTAAACTACAGATAATGCGAGAAACCAAAAGATGCTTAGGGCAGATGAATGTCAGAGCAGCGGCAATGCACAGCAAGGCAAAAGAGTGGAAGTGAGTCGCCATTATGATGACAGAATCTAGAGTCCAACGAGGTCATCGTCGGGGCGCTGCGGTAGCAGGAACTCCGTTGGGCGGCGATGACGAGTGTAGGTGCTCCCCGCTACTTCGCGGATGCACGTAGGACGATGGTCGAGGAGATGAAGATATGGTACCAGTGATGGGTCGTTGAGCAGTGGGCCAATCTGTCTCGATCGGCTGGGGATAACGAGGTTGTTGCTGGCCCTGGATCATAGCTGCGCCTTGCGATAGGGAAGTTGGATGCGTAGGAGAAGTGTACGAGGTGGGTGAATGAATGATACCTGGATGTGGATGGGGCGACTGCTGTCGGCCATTCCGTATATGAGGTTCACTCGAAATTGATGTCAACGGTGGTCGATCTCCGGGTGGCGAAACGCGGGGTGGGTTGGTAAGGTTCGGCGAACCCATTGATGCCAATGGTGGACGCCCGTTTGCTCTGAGGCGCATGTACATGTCACATTTCTTCATGAAATCTTTGCTTGGTAGCTCAGTGCTATTTGAGAAATATTCCTGATCATGGAGGATAGGCAGGAACTCCTCGGGAACCAAATAAAACTCATCCTGGTTCTCGAGTAACGAGGTTACTACGCGAATAGCCCCAAAGCTCTCGTCTCGAACGGCGTCACGCCCGCGTGAGTATAAGATACTAGGACATATGACCGTTGCTAGGTTTGATAGGTCCATCTTGCTACCAGTGGACTCATCCATGTGTGCGAACGACGCCACCCATTTGAGGAACACAAATAGCACCTCCATGGTGTCACGATGGCTCTTGGGAAGAAGCAAGGAAACTAGATGGAGACAACGCCTCCGCTCTGCCTCTGTAGAAAGGGCTGGAGATTGTATGTCAGATTGCGAATCATATGAAAGTGTGAAGACAGACACTGCGATGCAATCAGTAATCGGTGTAACTTGAACGTCATGAGTGGCTCCGGCAGTTCGCGGAGGAACTTCTTCAAGAGAGCAGCCAATTGCACCGGGTTGTCCTGCGTGAGATCTACTGATGATAAGTCGTGATCGATGGCCTCCGTGAGATCCTTCAACCGCCTGATATTACCATTCTTGCGGAAGACGCCCTCCACCGACATATCTGTAAATCACAAGATATCAAAACACAGTTAAGATCACCGTAAATAACATACCCATCTGCCTCATGGCTGAGACAACATCATCAATAAAGCTTGGCACCCTCAAGGTTGCACGGCTGGCTCCCAATAAGGAATCTGACCCTTCTTTCTCAACTAGGAGCTCAAGTGGAACACCAAAAACGCCTATACATAATCGATAAGGTGAACCTAATACTTGGCAATCGTGAAAACTCACCCTTCTTTTTGACGTTCTTCTTGTCTCCAGCTTTGAACAGCTGTTTCCAGAAGCCTCCCTTTTTTGTCTCAACCAGTTCGAGCAACTCATCCAATTCAAGCTGATCCCGAAGCGGAGATCGCTGGAGGGCAAGGACAGCAGAGTGTTTGACGATAGTAAGTTCGAGTGCGCTCAACTCGGCGACATGCGGTACCGTGCTCTGGCGCGGTAATGAGCGCTGCTGTTCGCGAGCTTGCGCGGCCTCCATCAACTGAGGTATGTCAGCTAACGTAATACCGTCATCAGGGGTGTGTAACGGGGCATCGTCTGGGCCACCTGCTGGAGAGTTTGGTACCGACTCATCCACTATCTTCACCTCTGTGTTGCTCCGTCCGATAGTAGAACGAACTACTTGCGCTTGATAACTTGTGTCCAGTGTACCAGGAGTACGAGTTTGCGCCCGTGAAGGAGGTTGTGATGGTATCCCCGAGGAGCCAGGCTGGGAGGGCTGACGCCCTGGAACCAGCGTCCCTGGTGGAGGCGCCCTCTGAGGTTGTGGGGTTTTGATATCTTGTTGCGATCGTTGAGCATGCAGTGGCTCCGAGGGCTGGACAGTTTTGCCTGATGGACTCTCCACGATCGTTGATCGTTTGGGTAGCCGTGCTGTAGCAGATAGCTTTCGATCCAGATGTACGGATTTCATGCGCATTATATCGCCAGAGTTACGATAGGGATCTTGGTCCCCTGACTTGGGGTTGATGCTTGGCGTCGTAGAAGCAACTGACAATACACGCTTACGATGCAGAACATCGAGTATGAGAGATCGGAACATACCTGGTGACACAGGAACCACGCCCTGTTGCTTTAAAACCAGGTACAACCTACGCAATGCAATGTTGAGCAGAAACGCATACTGCTCCAGCCGAGAGACAGCCTGGAATCCATCTCGACACCCTGGATGCACGTGGTCTGTGCACAGGATAACGGTAGGCACTTCACCATATGAAGGGATGTCCTTGACCGAATCAAGCTCGTACACAAAGATGCCGACATTTGCCGGTGGTCTTCGAACAGAAGATGGCTTCGATGGGTCCTTTTCGCTCCTTTCCTTTTCTTTATCTTTGTCTTTATCTTCTGGGGACTTGGGTGGCGTCGGCTCTTTCGGTGCCGGAATAGCAGCTACCTTGTCACACCTGGCGCATTGCAGACACTGGGAGTGCCAACGCTGATAAGTTCCCAACCGAACACAGTCTTCTTCTACTGCTTGTGTACACTTGACGCACCGGTCTGAAGGCGGATTGGTGACTGTCAACCGAGATGGCGAGTTCGCTGTGAACGGGGATTCTCCTGCATGTTCTGGTGCCAGACTCCTGAAGCCGTAAGTGACACCCTGTGTGCCAATATTTCCTCCTCTCATAACCTCACCACTTCCACCTTTAATGATCCGGCGAGCCGCTGGGTCGCCACCTTGCACCGCGAGCAAATGTAGCTTATCGAGGAATGATGGCATAGCCTCTCGGACGCTTTGTTCCCTCTCCAGTTTTAGTGCGCCCGTTAATGCTATTCGAATGAGGATCTTAAGGTAATGGGCTATTCCTGTCACGAGTGCAAGTAGTTCCTGAGTCATCCCCATTCTGCGCGACCCAGTTTCCTGGGTACGTGAAAGAAGGGTGAACAGATCAACCGTTTTTCGGCAAAGCATGCGGGCTTCTCGGACATGAGACATTCCTTCGAACCATATAAGCAATACCGGGGATATAACACGAAACATACACGCACCTTTCAAGTTAAGCCTAGCGGAATGGCATTCAAGGTCATCGATGGTGCCGAATAAGACTTCCACATGTAGAATAAACTTCTCGGCCATCCTGATGGCATCAAGATATTGTCCGTTGCTGACCTGTCGTAGCATATCAGATATACACGCAGCGCTTGATTCCTCGAACGCCGAGAGAACCCTGTAATGTAGACGATCAGTTGTGTTTCAGACCACGTGGGAGTACTCACGTCCAAATGCGATAGACCAGCTGTTCCATCCTGATTTGCTTGTCCTTCAATGTAGTGGGAGTTTCACGCTTCTCTTCCTCGACGTAGGATGGCTCCAATTCCGACCCATCATTAATCAACACGCTCGATCTCCGTGAAACTACTTTGACGTTCCAAAACTGTAAGGCTGAATGAGAATTGATATAAGATTGCGACCTCCTAGAACGAGAACCTTATTGATCATGTAACATTCTGGATGCCAGCACTCGTCCCTCATGTTGCGATTTATCTCAACGAATTGCTTCAGGATGGCGCTGCTGCAACCTGCACATTTTGTCGCAAAACGTGTCGAGTAGTGGAAGTGACAATAAACGTCCCCATCGTGCTCATAGTAGGAGTCCTGTGGGCCAAAAAGGGTTGGGCACAGGGAGCAAGTGAAGTGTTCCACATGATACTTCTTGTCTGTATAGGGATATTAATTAGCAAGAAAGGAGCGACGAGTAGAACCACTAACTGCATGCCGTAATATAGCTGCCTCGGAGAGCAAGTCCACATTTGGCGCATATAAGATTCAGGCGACGGAAGTAATCCCGTTCACAGAGGGGATGTTGTTTACCATCAGGCCCATCAATAGGAAAGAACTTTGACGCGACGACATCGCCGCAATCCTAACAAATTATAAGCGGAACTGGGTACCTGAAAGGTCAAGATGTTCATACCAAGCATTTAAAGCAGTTCAAGTGGTATACAGTGCCTAATGCGCGGACGAAAGCACCTTGCATCGTGTTTCCACATGCGGAGCAAGGTCTACAGGGAAGAAGTGTCAGATGATGGATCGAAACCACAGACTACTGTGGGAGTGTTTGTAGAGGAAATGGCGGACTCACGATTGTGAGATGTTAGTGGATGTCGCAGAGGAAGTGGATGTCATGGGACCAGTCTTGTTTGGAGAACTAGAACTGGAGGACGCAGAGTGTCCGGAGGAATATGAGATTACACTGTCTCGACGCTTCAACTCTACATTCCTTTCGGTGTATGAGACAAGATTATACGGAGTGGAGCCATTGGGGGTGGTAGGACGACTACGCGAACGAAAGGCGGGAGATGGAGGCGGGAGAGAAGCGGGGATACCATTTGAATCATAAGGCCTGCTCGAGTGGGCATGATTCAAGTCATCACTATAAGCATGAGGGACTAGATCATGCTTCACGGAAAGATTATTACGGTTGAGGTCCTGGGTAGAGCCAAGGGTAGAAGCTCTGGTAGGAAAAAGGGGACGATCAGGTAGGCGAGTAGTGGTTGTCGGTGGAGCATAAATAGAACCACCGAGATGAGATGAACCATCGTGCTCTTTGCGCAGACGAGCCGTTTCTGAATCAAACGACATAACGGATCCCAGGCAGGCCTGACTACGATGATTAGTACCCCCAAAGTTAATTGGAACAGTTCTGAGAGAGATCCTTGACGATTTTCATGCGGAACCTAGTAGATTTATGTTCCGGAAAGCGATGAAGTAGAACAAAAGCAAGCTAGAAGCACCACAGCTGGAGAACGGTGCAAAAGCAGTGAGGTCTACTGAAGAACGAGGATCACGAACGTGACAATAAGTCACGCGTCACAGTAACCACCTTTTCTGATCATCGTTACCTCAGGCTATTAGCTGGCGACTCGATGCTCACAAAACCCGAACTTGTGTTGCGCCATATAGCCTGTGGAGGTTTGTAGAACCAGGTCGTGGGAGGTTTTATGGAGACAAAAACTCCACGTGGAACCAGGTTTGTAACTCATAGAGATATGAGTCCGACGGTGCTTTCTGCGCCAGGCAGTTGCTCCACATCGCACTTCAACGTAAACGGCATCTGGTGTAACGTGGTTCCTCCCGAGTTACCTGCCAAGGCTCCAAACAAAACAAGGTCTACAGAACACTCCCAAAGAAAAGCCCAGTAATGATGTTTGGCCACTCACGGCGATAGTTTATGTAGTCAGCGAGTGAGTTGACCAGATAATCGTGCCTCACATCACTAAAATTAAGCCAACTTATACACAGAGTGCGGTTATATTAGCTCCGGTGACCGATTTCTTCCAGAATCTTTCCAGCCAACCTGAGAGTGGTCGAGGTATCTGAGTTCAAATATTTCACCTCATGGCGACATGATCCACCATAGCCAGTCAAATATTGAAGGTTATAATGGATCCTGCCTTCATCGATGTTCACTTGTCTCTTCTGACTTCTGACAGCTTTGACATTGATGTGATGGGTCAAATCTTTTCATATTCCAGTCGAACATAAACTTGAAGTGCCTTCCGGCTCAGGGCCTCGTTCATATGCCTTGCCATCGTGGGTGCCTGCAGCGAGTTGTCTCTCTCTTGGACATCCTATCAATCCTCCGTGGATACGACTTTTCAACCATGAACCCTTCAACAATCAATTTCCTACCTGATGGTAACATTCACGTATACTACCATGTTGAAACTAGTCAACAAATCGACATTTTCATCATTGATTGTACCTTGTTTACCGCTTGGAGTAGCACCGAATCCCTCACCACACCTTGCCACTATGGCCAAATACGTGATTTCAAGACTAGGTTGTCAGATAGGGATAATGGCACTTGCCATATCGCTTCTAACATGCAATAGAGTTGATACGTAGCAGCTCACCAAATAGGTGTCAGCAAGGGTGACGAGGTGTGTTATCGATATCATACGAGCACCTCGTGAAGTTTATCGTATCTCGCACCGTCACTCGTCGATTTATCGATAGTATTGCAGCTGCACGATCTATGAATCTCATTCATACCTCACACGTCATTGACATTAACGATACTCGGAATGGCGTGTTCCATTTTTGCCTGCATGTGCGAAACATGATCAAATTGCAGTCTTCTCCTCTCATGTTTCTATAGATACCCAGTTGATGTATGACCGCTGCTAACATCGACTCTCATGTTGATTCTCGAGCAAACTTTGGTACATTTAGCCCTTGTTTCACTCCATACACTCGGCAATGATACCCGATGGTCAATCGGTCCGTATCCCGCCTCCGAGCCAGGAATGCCCCACAAGCATACCTTTTGAACTTGTGTACGCCAACACATATAAGCCATGGGACACAAAAACATCCAGAGACCACAGAACCTGAACTTGATTTTCTGGATCTCTTACAGGCAATGCCACGTCTCTACTTGGTGGACGAGGTCAATGGGACAGGTGTAGAGAGCATGACCACGAGGAGTAGTCGTCAACCGCCAGCGTTCGCAACAAAGCGTCAGACTCACTCTACAGCATCGCGTGGAAGTAATAACAACGCATCCTACGCGCATCGTCCGAGTACTAACGGTGCTCATCACTCAATGCGCTAGAAGGCGAGAAAATAGGAGCAGGTACGACGCCATTGAACTTAGTATCATCGTCCGAGAATGTTAATTATATATCAATACTTGAAATTCAGATCTCGGGACTAGTGCAAGCATCCGCTGAGTCTTGGTCAAGTCCATTGACAGGATTCTAAATATTCTCCTGGTGTCGTCATATTCCTACTTGCGATTGGCATTATGCGCTCTTGTTCCATGATTTATCTATTACGACTACTGAATCTTTTGTTACCTTGTATCCGCAGGTCCAACATTTTCGCTCCCCGACGGTCCGAGCTACACAAACTTGAACTTTCCATCTATTTAAGCAGCTTCCGCAGATGAGTAACTCATCACTCTAGACTCTGCAGACCTTTGTTTTATCGTGCTACGACCAAGGTAAGGTATTCTACTGTTATTTCACAGTTCACCCATCCTAAAGCTGTTTTTATATAGGTAAATATACCAGACGTCTGCATTATCGCGTGTTACGACTGAGAGTATTTATTTAATCTAGATCCGCACAACATTGCTATTGTTCTTATTGCTCGAATCCATAGTGAACACTAATTCTTGAAAACCTCCTGTCAAGCCACAAAAGGTAAATCTTGCATATGACCGAGGTTTCGACTGACAACAACTCTGTCCTACAGATTCCTCATGTCGCACATATTTGCTGCATTAACCGAGTCGATGCGCGTCCTTCGGTTTTGCAGAAATGGTCGAGTCCCCATCATATCGCGCCTTCCAGACGAGATTCTTTTGACAATCTTCAAACACTTCGAAGAAGAGAAGCGTCTCAATGGATACGATAGCCATGATGACGAATATGCAAGCGATGTCACCGGTGGTGTCCCTGCTTGTCTAGTAGTCACACACGTCTGCAGACACTGGCGCAAAGTCGCTCTCGAGTGCCCGACTCTTTGGACATTCATCAGTTCTACCTCTTTGCTTTGGCTAGATGTCATGCTTGAGAGGTCGCAGAAGGCTCCTTTGGTCGTCACCTATAATCCATTTTCGATCTCACTAGACAATTGCTTGGAGAAAGTCCTTTTACACCTGCCCCGCATCAAATACCTCGAATTACGCGCACACTCATATAATGTCGGTCGCGTGATGAATCTGTTATCATCTCAACCTGCACCGATGCTTGAAACATTCAAATTCTCGGTCGAATGTAACCTTCTTCCAACGGTGTCCATATCAAACACCATTTTCCAAGGACAAGCACCCCTACTTCGGCACCTCGATGTCGATTATTGCAATCCCAGATGGTCATCGTGCATTTTCGGTGGGCTTCGAGCTCTATGTGTAAGGAAAACGTCCTTACCAGACATCCTTTCTACTCTGCGATGTACACCCGTCCTGGAGCAGTTTATGCTCCAGCTCCAGTTACCAGAATCCGACCAATCAACGCTCATCGATAGAGTGCCACTCACTCGATTGAAAAATATAGTGCTAGACGGGACCTCGCTCCAAAATGCTGTGTCTCTCTTCGAACAGCTGGCCCTTCCCGTCGACGTCAAGATTGCTCTACAACTCTCATCGATTGAAGGGCCCCCAACCTTTGCTGATTTTTTTTCGGTCATGAATAAGCATCCTGATGGATCCGGTCCCGTTTTTCGGTCGCTGCGTGCCATTAAATTCAAGCCATGGCGTTTTTCTGTCCAGTTTAGCACGTCAATGGAGATCAATTCCGACTATTCCTGGAATCCTCAAGATGATGACATACGACTCTCGATCCAGTTCTACTATGAAGACGATGAAGTTCGGCCAAACGGCCCATCCGCTGAAAACATCATCTTCGATATATGTAATATCATCGCGCAACGCAAACGTCGAACCTTCTTTTCTGGGGAGTTCGAATCCATCAATGTGGAGGGGTGCCCAGACTTTATTGAAGGCTTAACCGCTGCGCTCCGGATTGAAGGGTAATCAAATGGGATGTATCCTTCGCTCCGTGTTTTGGAGCTCCTAGGTATCTCATTCGAAGGTGATGACCTTCGGGATGTCTTGAAAATGCGAGCCCAACATGATGTCCCCGTCCGCGACCTCCGCCTCAGACTATGCGATAATTTCACGGCTGATCAGGTAGAGCTTTTTCAGGAAGTGGTTGCAAACAAAATTGATTGCGATCAATTTACCCTTGATCATGCTTCGACTGTGGCTGTTCCGTTTCTTACTAGACTGGAGTTTTGATGTGTTTTGACTGTACTTACTAAGTTACTACGTTCCTATCGTCGACAGTTGTATCTGATGGTTTCCCCTCAGGCTAGGCAGACCTAACATACCCTGTACCAATATCATAATTAACTACGTCACGTGTTTCCCCGACTCCCACGTTAGCGGAGATGCTTTGTCGAACACATTGACAAACGAATTCCCATGCGTCAGCCGATACTTGGACAGAATCTTAACTTTATTCTCATCTGCTGAGTGCTCTACAGTTTTCGGCAAATACTCACCATCATGCTTTTGTCAGTAGCTGAGCGCTGAGTCTTATTACATGGATCTCACCGCTCTTGGACATCCAAACCTGCGTGACGGCAGTTCTACATCTGTTTTTTTTGTTTTCACTGCGATAAGGAATTTCTTGAAGCAATTGAATAGGCTGGTCCTCGGCTCATTCAATGTCGTCTTCAGCCTGGTCCTTTATTTGTGAGACACTACAGACTTCAAAGCACGTTGAAGGTACAACAATTCAGATGGTGAGTCTGAACAATGTTGGGTCTTGCAGAACCTAGCTGCTATTCGACCCTAAAGGGTTTCTGGACTAGGCTCAAGGCTCAGAGGAGAGGAAATATCATGAAAAACTACTGAAGACTCAGACTCATACTGATAACTGGTGAAAAGATAACTTCCTTATGTAAGCTACAAAAGTGCCAACATAAGGTAAGGTAAAAACAGTCTCTACAAGCCCAGCCAGAAATGAATCCCTACAACGTCAATATATATCCTCAACTTGAAATATGATGACATGTGGAACAGCACAAGCGATTGTAATTTTGGTGGCAGAAGTTGTTAGCGCTTTGGTCACGAGCATATGGTTACCATGGGGTGCAGGAGTAGGCATGGGCCTCATCAGCTTCCTATTTTGTGTTGCACGTATCATGGTTGCTGTGCTGCTAGTTATTTTGACCCCAACTGTAAGGCTACCTGTCTCCGTGAAGTCCAATGCTAACAGCTCGTTCAGATTTCAATAGGCGCAGGTGGTTGGGTAGCCTATGGCATACTGATCGTCCTTTGCTTTGTTTATCTTACATTGTTTCTGATTCTTGTTATTGAAGGTCATCGAAGCTGTTGTGCGCATTCTTGGTCGGGTCGGCTTTGATCACTCCAGATGGCCAGTCGATAGCGGATTGATTGGTGTGCTTTCTCTTCTCGGATGTTGCGGGCCATGGAGAGGTGGTCGCGAACGAAGACACTACAAAGCCACGGAAGTACGACATTCACCCGTGGCTCGAGACTCTTTCGCTGCACGTGATTCATCTCCCTATGTGCCACCCAACGCATCTTTCGCGCAGAAAGACAAAGGTTCCAGCTCCTCTCATCATTTGGGTGGGCCCCTGCCATCAGTATTGCGACCCGAGCCTGCTTTGCAGCCTTACAGAGAGGACAGCGATGATGATGCAGAAAGTGGTTACACAATGGGCACATGGCAGCCATTCCCAGGTCCAGGTCCTCGCAGCTCATACGACCGCACATCCATTAGTACACCTCCCCAACACTCCAATTCAAGTTTCTCCCACATCGGTGGCGGTCGCGCCCACTATGACTCACCATACGTGATTGCCAATGAGACTGGGGGGAGCTCAACTTTCTCATTCCCTACCATGGAACGCAAGCACAGTGGGCCGGTGTCTGTTGGCACACCAATGAAGACGATCTATGACGATGAAGAACTACCTACTCCAACTGCTTCCATAGCGAATGTTGCGCACCTTCCTGCGCTCATGGGCTCTGGACTACCTACTGGAGCAATGTTGCCACAGATGCGCACAAAGAGTCAGACAGCAGTTATTATTGGAGATGTGGCTGCATTGAATGCAACATCTGTAAATGCTCCTACGCAGGAGGAGCATCCTTCGATGGCGACCAAGACGAACAGCGGGGAATTGAACAACAGTGATCCTGACCAACCGAAAAGAGACATTGGTACAACATTTGAAGAAATCGTAGGCACAGTGAGGGTGATCGACTGGACAGTGGGGTGAGTGAGGTGGAGCCTGAAGGCAGTTCATCTCCCAAGGATTCTGGAAAGTCGTTCATCGTTATTCGGGCACGGAAGCCTCAATCATCACAACCCGATACTCATCCACACATTCACAAGGTTAGATACTCAATGGACGAAACTGGAGCAGGATCTTCTTCGCAAGCAAAATCTATGAAGCCATGAATCGACATTATAATGTGCATACACACCTTTTACGCTTTGTTCTTACCTTGTCCTACTTTGCATTTATGATGTACCACCTTGTGATTCTTACGGTACGCATCATCATCTTGCATATGTAATATTTATTGCGCTCATGTATCTGAACCACACTCTGGAACGAGCAGGCCAGAATCAGGAGTCGGGGACTGGTGCGCAAGCACCGTTACGATTGTCACCTTGCTTGCCAGGTCGTATGCCATCTGACAAAATCTGACGGACTGACTGCCAATAATATACAATAATAAATATCAATAAATGTTCAATGTGGCTGTATGTCATGACCTTACCGATCCAGTGTTCAAACGTTCAAGTTTGTGAACCATGTCACAACAGCTCAATTCCGCCCTGGATAAATTAAACCATCCACCGGCTGCCTCAAGGTGACCATACCGGAAAATATGGTCAGTCAACTTCCAATAGAACCGTGTATCTAGATTCCAATCGCTACCAGAGCTGGTGTGATACGTGCTCAAAAACCTACCTGTGTTACCGGACATGATGCCTGGGCTCACAATGATTGCATCTGAACCAGAAATATTTATATGGGAGTTGTAGGCTGCTTTGATAGTCCCAGATAAAAGCCGAAACAGTGCAGCATCTTCGCCAGACGGAGTGACTGGTGCTGGCTCCAAGCCGTCACCAAACGCAGTGGAAAGGGTCAAGGCGCCATATGAAGGCGCATCCTCATTGGAAACATAGCTACCAAAAGCCGTGTAAGACAGATTGAAGTTGTTTGCGAGAGATTTCAACAATTCGATGTTGCGCACTTTTGTGGCGGCAATAGAACTACAGACAAGATTAGACGTGTTAACGACAATACTATTCGTTTGCATCAAAAGTCCTACCTTTCTGTAGAAATCCGGTGATTCACAATGGCCCACGCCTGTTCTGGGAGAGCGTTTACCTTCACTCCACCGTCCACGAGATCGATAGCTTGAGTAGTGCCGACAAGACTCATGAAAGTACGGTCCTTAAAGAGTTCCTCCTGAGCGGCACGAAGCGCTTCATCGCAGTGCTCTGCATGCAACATGTGTTCCTTTAACGAGGAACTGACGCCTGGAGCGTATTGAGCCATGCATTGAGCGTTCCTGTAAGTCGGTGATCCTCTTGTCTACCGGAAAAATATCAGTGCTTCGTCACAGCCAGTCTCTTAAAACTCACCAAGTGGGTCTCGAAGGGGTTTTTCTCATACTGCACAAGGAGCTCTGCAAGCATACCGATGCTCTTGAAAAATCAGAGACGATTGGTGAATAATTGAGTACGAGAAAGCTCACTGTATGAGGTGGAGGAAGGCTAGAATGGCCACCGGGAGATGTAACTTTGATTTGGACGTTCAAGGTACCTTTCTCGGCAATTGCAGGTACTGCAATAACACGACCATATACCTCACCGTACCCGGCTGTCAACCAGAACCTCATTACTCATTGTGTTAGTCAGTCCAACAACAACTCACAGCCTTTGTCGAGAAGCATGGCAAAGGCATTTTCTCCAAATCTCTCTATCATTTCGGTAGCTAGGGAAGACGCACCCTTGAACCAAAATTCAATGTTAACGCGCTAATGTAACTGTACAGAGTTTTAGCAACTTACCCGTATTCCACTTACTTCCTCGTCAAATCCTGACGCGATCACAACTGTGCGAGTCGGCTTGAAGCCGTTCTCTAGCATAGATTCAATCGCAGACCTATGGAAATCAGTATACCTTTCTTGAACACTACAAGGACACAAACATGATCCCTAGACACAATCAATAAGTTCAGGAATAGAACTAGATGTTGGAACACTACTGATTAGACCGCTCTTATCATCGCACGACCCGTGACCCCAAAGACTCTCCCCTGCCAAGGTATCAGTTAAAAACATGCGACCCATCATGAAACTACTTTACAAACCATCAAAGTAACCGGAGAATGGAGGATGCTGCCATTCATTGATTGTCGTTTCTGACACAGGGACCACGTCTAGCGGTTGATGAGTCAATATAGATATGTATGATGCACAAACGAACTTACCCTGGTGAGCAGCGAGGAGGAGTGGCATCAAAGCACTGTCTGAGCCTTTCCATACGTATAACAGTCCGTATGTGTTGACTTTCGTAAGTTCCAAGTTTGAGTGACTGGCACACGATGTGAACTGGACAATGGCACAGTGCGGAAGAGTACGTACAGTAAAGGGAATGAGTCTTTCAGATAATCATGTAACGGGAAAAACTTCTCCCAAATGGGCTCTGTCACATCTCCCATGTCATCGAACGTTTCTGTGCTGAGAGCTGTATTTAGTGCAGATACTCAGCATATCGCAGGCGATAGTGTTGCCGAAGTCCGGTTCGGTCCGGTTCTTGGGGCAAATTTTCCGAACGCCGAACCGAACCATAGGTTCGGTTCAGCCATTTGGTCGAACCCTGGACCGAACGTCACTGAACGCGTTCGGGAGGTCCGGTTCGCGTTCGAACCAGGTTCGACTAAGCTTGGACCATCTGTTTGGTTGTATAGGCTTGAGACTATGAATTTTCATGTAATTTGAGTCGGACAGATAACGAAAAGACTCTATAATGCAAGGAGAACTCCTTTGTACAAAGATTGAATTCAAGTTGTCAAAATAAATACATTTTATTTGCCTGGTGCGCATAGTTCCCTCGTAAAACATATCTCAAACGGAATAGCATGTATGTTTGCAGTGTCTGAGAATGCAAGCATGTCAATCTTCGCTGCAGGATTCTCCGAAAGGTGGAAAGCACAGAATAAGAGTCGTGTTAATGAAGACAGACCGATTCACGACATGTTGACCGGGAGTCCAAGCCCACAGAATAAGAGCCGTGTTGATGAAGACAGACTGATTCGTGACATGTTGACCGGGAGTCCAAGCCCACAGAATAAGAGCCGTGTTGATGAAGACAGACTGATTCGTGACATGTTGACCGGGAGTCCAAGCCCACAGAATAAGAGCCGTGTTGATGAAGAGTGCCCGACAAGGAACATATCAGTCCCCCATCCAGAGTCGAGTCTACATGCGCAACGTACCAAATATCCATTATAGAGTGCATGCTTACACTGACTTATACTTATACAGACATGGATTGAACACCTACGCGAATTAATCGGACCTGCCAGTGTGCGAGTCACGGGTTGCAGTCTTCGTCGCACTTGCAGGAATGAGGTAGTTGTTCCAGATGATGTCCTTCAATGTCCTTCGTCACGCGATGTGCAAAGCCTGTAGTGAAAGGTGGTCGTCCACTATCGCATCATCACAACTGAAATAAGACGTACCTCCAATAGTGACAGGTCTCTACCTGAGACTCTCGAGGATGAACATGGTAACTTGCGGCAGCATTTCCTGATCAGCAAATGTCGGCACTGATCAAGAGTTATTTGAGTCAGTTGATGCACAAAGAAAAGGCATAACCTACACCGCGTACGCCCCACGACATGATCGAGTTCCTCTTGTACGCGAGCCTGCGCATCTGTGTGAGATTGCGAACACAGTCTACAACAGTTGTCAACTTAAGACACGATGCAATGTAAGAGCTCACCGTTTCAGAACCGGCGCCAAACATTGTTCCTAACCATTTGTGTTCGCACCGTGTCCAACTGCCCGTTATAGAGAGCATGTTCTTCTTTGTGCCATGCCTTCAGCTGACTCAGGTAGCCGAGGACGAATAACTTTCTTGCGTGGGAGGTGTGCTGAGGTGTGGTGCTTCGACACAGCGGAGATCTGACTCTGGCAAGCAAGAATGTGACGGTGCAGTCCTGTGTCACAGCGCGTCACCGTGACGACCACGGCAGGCGCAACAAGACCGCGTCAATTTCACCCGATGGCCCAAACCTGTGGTTCCAGACACATGCCTTTGCATATATGACACGTAGTAAATACTTACATATTCTTAAAAAAGTGTAAAGCCGACAAAAATTGAGAGGTTCGAACCCGTTCGAACCTATTCACTACCAGCCTGAACCCCGAACTTCTAGAAAGGTTCGGTTCTGAGTCTTGGCCGAACCTTGGACCGGACCATGCGTCCGGTTCGGAAAGGTTCAGGTTCGAACCGAGGTTCGGAACCGGACTGCGGCAGCACTAGCAGGCGAAACAAACACACGGAATTCGCACAGCTCCCCCAAGCCAGTCTATAGCTCTCGTTTTGAACTCTTCAGTACTGTACACGTGTTGAATACTTTCCCAGACCACTCCATTCTTCTCGGGAACAAGTTCGTCCACCTGAGGGCACAAATCTACGCCATTCTCGAGGGTGCCGATAGTGGAACCATTCAAGGGTCTTTTGACAGAGTATGTTGAAGCAGAGATTGCGAGTGCAGTGACGAGTGTGATCTTGAATACGATGGCCTTGGCCTTCGAAAGCTTCGTAGTGGATGTGCGGGCATTAACACCTGGAAGCTCGTCAGCTTTCTTTTCGACTAGATTGACTTGGGACATGTTATGCGACAGAAGCCTGCAAAGACAGGAAAGACCATTCTTCTTTCAAGCTGGAAACTGGATATCCCACTGGCTGATAACGACCGTTTTACGGGCCGTTTTAACAACTTGGTGCATGCACGTGAGTCACATTCCATGCACTTGTAAACAGTAGTAGTAGACTTTGAATACCCAGTTATCGGTCCCTACATCACTCATCGTTTGTCACATTAGTAAGCTTTCTACTCCTGTACTCGTACCATCATTACATCACTGAAACCCAGTGTTCCCCATAAACCATTATATACACATTATCATGTAGATAATAACCATATTCGGCTAAAATATGACAGTGCGAGATATATAGGCATATAAGTTGCATATAAGTGTTTAGAACGCTATCCCCTATGACCAATGATTGTCATGAATCGTGTTGTGACAAATACTAGTACTGTTTTGAAGTGATGAAACATGTTCAACGAAGTGTTTCTCATGTAGAATTTCTAGCACAGTGGCTCTCCTGCCCAATAAGTAACAAAAATATAAATTCTTGGCATCTGTACCATCATACAGACAATTGCTTCAAATACTGGTATTATGATATTACGGATTTTATACTTGATTAGCCAGGAAATCATATTGGATAGTATGCGAGTTATACAAAAACACTTGGTACAATACATGTGCTCTACCCCAATCTCATAACAATAACCGACGGAGGGAAACCACGACAGATATTGTGAGTGTCTTGAAGTCCAATGAAAGCAAGACATAGCGGTAGCTTGATGCCACTATTTCCATAAGCGGGGATTCGCACCAGGCATCACAGACTCGATAAAGTGCAGCGTTATAGGATCGAGTTTGGTAGTATAGAATCGAGCTCGGTGGTATAAGATCGAATTTGGCGGTACTTTAGAATGCGACGGGATCGAGTTTGGCCATAGAATCCAGTTTGTGGCCTTGGAAGAGGTTGGCCATGGGATCGAGTTCAAATGTGGGATCGAGTTCGGCCATATTGTCAAAGACCAGCCTTCGTTAGACAGAGTCTGACAGAAACATAGATCGTGGTGCTTGTTGCTGAACCATACCATTTGGTGCGACTCTCTGGACAGAGACTCAAGAAACTTGAAGGAAGTAGCGTTAACGAGTAACTAGAGGCAGAGTAGGCGATAGTGGGGGTTAAAAATAAAGTCAGAGTCGGATCCTTAATTATGAATGACCAGAATATATGCTCGACGAGCGGTGACTGAGGTCTTGACCTCCGCCAATGGAGTTGTACCTCATTCGTCTTGAGATCCGACAGTCAGAGTGTTTCGAAATAGGAAAAGAGGAATGGAGCCGGGTCGGAGCCGGGTAAGGCTGCAAGCTTCGGTGTCAGTGGTAGACAACAAAGACTGATGGAGAACTGAAACCATCCAGTTTGGGCGTCAGTTCAGGACAAATGACTCACAACTCGGACCGTATCAGTTCACTTTGAAGCAAAGCCAAATGCAGAATGGGCTTACCACGCAGCTCAAAACTTAAATGAGACCATTCCGAGCCTCCTGCTAAACTGAGGATAGTCCCAAGCCTTGGAGGAAACTGATTTCAAACCTGAGCTGTGAGCCCCGGCCCACATGCTGAATCGATGTCTGAGCTCCACCATGCCGTTCCCAACGCCACGAACACCATGCGCAAACGCCCAGCACACGTCAGCAACTGCTGACATGGCTCAGACGAATGCGGACGATGGACGAAAGCAGGAGAAGGGAAGAAGACAAGAACGAGAACGAGAACGAGAACGAGAACGAGAACGAGAACGAGAACGAGAGAGAGGAGATGGACGAGACAAGCAGGAAGACATCGAGTAATATGTAAAATTAAAATTAAAACGCACCATGCAGATGATGACGAGTGAGAACGAGCGTCGAGAGTGGGCTCGAGTCTGACACAGGAGACGGAGAAGTCCTGCATTATTTGTTGAATGACAGGGAGGGGAGGAAGTCTTCGTTCGGCGGGCTCGCTGGTGCTGGCGTGCCCTGTTGTTGTTGTTGTTGTTTTGTTGAGGCCTAAGGGACAAGAAGGATGACGGCGACGACCTGCCTGTGTTGATATACTTGGCAATAAGCTTGAGGTTGGGTTTGGGCTGTTCCCTTTTTTTCCGCCTAGGTCAGTATTGTTCAAGTTGTAGATGTTAGAACACTAGCCTGGAATCTGACATTGGGTTATAATCAGAATATAATGGTTTATCAGCGGGAAGCTAGATGAAGAAACGGACCAACACGCAATCATGTGACCCGTGTCGTAGATGCGCAATGTAAAACTTGGAACACTAGATTGGCGGTCGATATGGGTTTACATTGATTCGTCAAAACAAAAGGCAAAAGATAAAATAGGTAACACATCACGCATCTAAGCCGGTGCTATATACACCACGACATAGGCATATAAGGGGAAATCAGACATCGCCCAACTTATAAGGTGAGTATTGCCATATCATGCTTGTTGGTTTTCAGTGATGTAGTATGTCCGTCTGACTCCAACAGCACTTCATTTTAACTCTAATGGATGTACGTACGTTTTTCGATTTGAACTACTAATTGAACAGGTTTTAATCGCAACAGGGTTCAAATGCTCTGAACAAGTCCATGCAAAGCTTATGGTCCACCCACAGAAAAGCGAAGCTCAATCTAAATGCTCCTGCTCCGCTTTCGTCAAACACGCCTCTCGAGACCCCTCCTCTAGAAGATGCAGACCAACCACCCGGGTTAGAAAACCCAGGAACATCGATTCCTCCTACATCTTCCACAACACCTGCCACGAATGAAGTAACCTCGCCTGACATTCGTCCCCCTTCCTCGAAGCGAAAATTGCGTACAGCCCGCTCGACAGCAGAAGACAGCGGAAAACGACCGAAACTATCTGCCCTTCCCATGGCGAAGCATACACCCCCTGCTACTCGACTATCCGACCTAGGCGGTGTGGAAGGATGCGTGGAAAAGATGTTGGAGCTTGTTGCCATGCCCCTCGGTCATCCGGAAATCTATCTGCACACCGGTGTACAGCCTCCACGCGGTGTTTTGCTGCATGGCCCTCCGGGGTGTGGCAAGACCCTCCTAGCGAATGCAATAGCCGGGGTGAGTGCTACCACTGTTTCGTTTGTAATTCGACTGATCGTGTGCAGGAGCTGGGCGTTCCCTTCATCAGCATATCCGCTCCCTCCATCGTATCTGGCATGTCTGGAGAGTCGGAAAAGACGCTACGGGATACATTTGACGAGGCCAAGGTATATATCATAATATTCTGTATAATTCGTTAATACTAATCGTTACCTCCAGCGTGTTGCTCCTTGTCTGTTGTTCATCGACGAGATCGATGCTATCACTCCAAAACGAGAGAGTGCCCAGAGGGAGATGGAAAGACGCATAGTCGCGCAGTTCCTGACGTGCATGGATGGTAAGTTTAGATCATTTTTCTCTACCACGTCCTCTAACCTGACCGTACAGATATGTCTTGGGAGAAGACTGAAAATAAGCCGGTAATTGTCATTGGCGCCACAAACCGACCAGACTCGTTAGATGCTGCTCTTCGTCGCGCAGGCCGTTTCGACCACGAGATAAGCATGGGTGTTCCAGATGAAGAGGCACGAACCAAGTGAGTCCGTAGTGTCATACTATCGTTTGTTAGATTCAAGCTTTTGTAGAATTCTGCAAGTACTATGCGCAAAACTCCGGCTAGACGGCGACTTTAACTTTGCTGCCTTTGCCAAAGTGACGCCTGGCTACGTAGGCGCAGACCTATCAGCCTTAACAGGTGCAGCGGGCGTCATTGCTGTCAAACGCATCTTCAAACAACTCACAGACGGCACGCTCGTCCTACCGGAGGCATCAGAAAATGTCGGCCAAGATACTCCCATGGCAGTGGATGCGCCACCAACGCCCCCAGCCGATATCACGCCAAGTATAATACCATTTTTCTCTCTAGCATCCCAACTCCCTACTTCTTCCATCGCACACTTTCTCAGTGCACATCCCTCTCCCCTCACAGCCGCTCAGCTCGCCCCTCTCTGCATTACTTCGGACGATTTTTACGCCGCGCTACGTGAAGTTCAGCCTTCCTCCAAGCGAGAGGGTTTTGCAACTGTGCCAGACGTGACGTGGGCTGATATCGGCGCACTACATGGCACACGTGAAGAGTTACACATGGCAATTGTGCAGCCCATCAGGCGCCCTGAGCTGTTCAGTGCTGTGGGCATCGAAGCAGCGTGTGGTGTGCTGCTGTGGGGTCCGCCGGGATGTGGAAAGACCTTACTGGCGAAAGCTGTCGCAAATGAGTCCAGGGCAAATTTCATTAGCGTCAAGGGCCCTGAGCTTCTAAACAAGGTCAGTCAGGTTCTATCTCGAGTGAAAACATGCTAATGGGAGCGTAGTATGTCGGCGAGAGCGAGAGAGCTGTTAGACAGGTATTCTCTCGTGCCCGTGCTTCATCTCCCTGCGTGATCTTCTTCGACGAGCTAGACGCTCTCGTCCCTCGGAGAGATGAAAGCATGGTACACACGCCTTACTTTTCACTCCAATATCTATCTTACATTCCTATTTTCACAGTCAGAATCTTCCGCACGCGTCGTGAACACGCTACTCACAGAGCTAGATGGACTTGACTCCCGCAAAGCTGTCTACGTCATCGCCGCAACGAACCGTCCCGATATGATCGACCCGGCTATGGTTCGCCCAGGGCGTCTCGACAAGCTCCTCTACGTTGACCTACCAAGCGCTGACGAACGCGTCGAGATCGTACGGACGCTAGCGCGTAAAGTCCCATTCGCCCTTACAGAATCAGGTGGCGAGACAATTCTGCAACGCGCGGAGCACATCGTGCGGGAGAAATGTGATGGGTACAGCGGTGCGGACCTCGCAGCTGTCGTTCGGGAGGCAGGCGTTGTGGCGCTGAGACGTGTTCTCGGTGCGCTTGACCAGATGGATGACGGTGATGGAGGTTTGGTAGAGAATCAGCCGCGAGTAGTTGTCGTGTTGGAGGATTTCATTCGCGCTCAGGATAAGGTCAGTCCCAGCGTGTCTGCTGTGCAGCGGAGGAAGTATGAAGCGCTGCGAGCCAAGTTTGCTGGCCTTCCTGTGCGAACGGGGAAGGATGTCGATTAGAAGGGAGCTATTATAATGGGACGTTGCGAGAAAAATACCACGAGTCAAGATACAGGCAATCGATTCGTGAGTATTTGTAGACTCTACGTAGTATCTAATACAATGGCGATTGCTTTCAGTGTTCCATACTGCAGTCATGGTGCCAAATCCACCTCGACGGTTTCCGTAAAAGAATATATCATACATTTTATTCGTGATGAGAGTAAGAGTCCATTATGCAAGGATGTAGAATATCCACAAGCACTGATATGAGGACCGTTCGTTATGTCGCGATCTGGTTAGCATCGGTCAATTCGTTTGTCCTCTGACGTCCTTTCCTTGAGGGTACTATCTCCAGTTGATCTGAGCAACTGGCCAGACTGAGAATATAAAATTTCATCTACTGTGGCACAGCGTGTCGGTTCACCCACCTGATTGGTCTAGTAGCTAATGATAAACGCGCAGTTCGACTCTTCATGTCCCTGAGTGTAGTAGTCGTCCAACGGTGCAGTCGATTCCATGCTGTTTTTAGGTGTAGCTTTGGTAGGAAGCAAGTATTGTATATACCGGAAATTTGGAAAGGACCGTCCGTCCTGTCCATCCCGTCCGTCCCATCTGTACTGTCCGCATCGTCCTGGCCATCCAGAAACGTTTCAAAATGCTTTTTCGGAATGCTTCCGGAATTTATTGGAACTTCAATTCTCGCCACCAGGCGGCCTCCTGTGCGCTGCTCGTCGTCGTTTATCGTGTAGTCTCAAATTGATCCAATGCACTTCCCTCCATTCGTAAATGTTACACATTTGTCAGATGATAATTTTTCGTACCTTTTGCCACATAGTTTAAGATGTTTACTTTGATTCCTAGCTTTCGTAGTTAGCCTTAACGTTTATAGTTGAGCCGTCGACATACTTAAAGCATAAATGGCCAAATAAAAAAATCATTCATTCGATCATCGTCAGTAAAACCTCAACTTACCTTTTGACGGGTTATGCAGTGTTGAAGGAAAGGTCTCAGAGGCGCAAGGAAAGCGGCGCATAATACTACTCGTACGAGCAATTTTGAAGTCAACCTTGGCGGCCTGGGCATAAAATCATAGTAGCAATCGAAATAGCAGGATTACATAATTCCCGGAAGGGTACAGGTATATGTCTGCCGAATCGCGACGCGTCCTTGCGCTGCCGGACCCCGAGCCAATCGGCTTTGTCATGGATGACCCAGACGCCGAACATGCGCGTCAGAGGCCGAGTGATTTCGTCGACGGTGATCATGACGGCGCACAGTATTCAAGACTGTATATAAATCGCTGCATCCCACTCTGATGTTCTCTACTTGATCATCTTTCCTCCTGACTAACATGTACCCCTACTATCACCGCTACTACTTCCGTGGTCCATCGCGCATCGTCTGGTTCATCCTCGGCGCAGGTGCTGCTACTTTCTGGAATTGCAGTCGCCATATGCGCGAACACCGTGCACAGTACTTCCCTTGCGTCATGCAAGCACCTCGCGTAGAAGGGAGCGGCGAACAATCTACTCCCCCTGTCTACTCCAAGCCTGACGCTCCTGGGCCAGCACCTCAGGAACATAGGTGGAACTTCATCCATAGGAGTCAGCCTAACCGCAATGGTGATGGAACCGCGGGTTGGAATCAACGAGAGTGGGAGGAGGACAAGGAACGTCTCAAGGAGATTCAGAAGCGCGCCGAGGATGCGGTGAGTTGAACAAAACGATATACAGTTTCTCTCCTCATATCTGTTTCCTAAAGATGCTCGATATGTCGGAATCCACTCTAGAGTCCATCGTCTCTACCGTGGAAGCACTGAAAACCGTACGCCCTCCTGTTCATTCCCCAGATCCAGTTTCTCAGCATCAACCTGCAGAAACTCGCCCAACACAAGACCCAACGCGAACAAGAACGAAAAAACTACGAGGAAGAACTCGAGAGGCAAAAGAAAGAACCTCGTCGATATGTTTAAATCAAACAACTGTACACTACATTTGTACATCATCACCCCTCCCTCATTATCCTTTCAATTGGATTTTGAGATTGTGAATAACCACTAGATAATGATGCACGCTCACTCCCTGTTGACACTAATCGTTTAAAAGTTTCGCATAAGGGTATCACCGCAGGTATCCAGCTAAACCTGGTCATCCATGTGCATCCTTCGGACATATGCCGGAGCTTGAGGTTCGATCTTACCCTGCTCCTCAGCTAATTTGCCGCATTAATGACCATTCAAACATACACAACTAAGACACTTACGCGTAGCGTGCCAGAAGTAGATGATGAGGCCGACGACGACGACGCAGAAAGCAGGGAAGTATAGCCAGTATGGCGAATAGTGCTGCAAAAATATAAGTGCACATCAACCTCGCAGATACGTAACACTCACGAAAAGGAAGAGGCCTGTTGACATACAATCATCAGTCATCTTAAGAGAAGTAGCAAAGATAGTAGCGTACCAAAAATAAGACCATAAAAGTCACTCGTGAGCAGACTGATGTTGTAGAAAGGTGACGACGCCATGCGGTATAGCAGAGGAGCAACCGTGTAGAGGATAAACATTGCTGTCAACGAGTGTCAGCATGAGGATCAAGCTAAAATTTAGTAGAAACCAACCAACTGTGTAAGCAGCAAGAAAGCCAACTGAAGAACCCAATCAGCCAAAACCCACGTTATATCGTGCCAAAAATGACCCACTCGTAGCACCATTCCACGAGGCCGTAGTCATATCCACATGCTCCAAACTAGCAGCCTGGATCCCATTGATCAAGGTTCCCCACATACCAAGCTGGCCAACGACCTGCCAGGGTAAGATACGTAATCCTCCATTAAAGACGCCTCACTCACCTCATAAAGTGGCGATCTCCTCACAAAGAACTCTTCTGTGGCATTGGCTGATGACCATCGTCAATACGACAATTTGTTCGCCTAAAGAATAACTTACTAAAGCCATACAGTGTCGCTCCAACGATCATGAAAGCGTCGCCCTTTCCCTTGCTTAATGCAGGGTAGTTCTTGTCTGTGAGCATGTCTGAAGATACTAGCATGCCGAGTCCTCCGATACAAACTAGGATGCCCTGTGTGCACCTATTTAGACATGGAAATAGCTACACATTGGTGATTCCTCACCAACACCTGAGTCCAATGATACTTCGAACGCATGTACACCCAGCAAAAGAACAGGCAAACAGGAATGGCCCAACTAAGACAGATTCTGTGAGATGCAATATACATATGAGCGGCTGAGTACGACTCACGCATCGAGAAGCATGCAAGATAGTAGATCGGTATAGTTGTATGCCTGTTCGATAAGACACGGTAATTGATGCGATCGAAATGAGTGGAGATATACGCTTACCTTCACGACTAAGAAGTTACCCTCCACATCAGAGGCTGCGAGGATGAAATCTATAGGCTGTCAGAATCTCTTACCGGTGGGGATGATGATGATGTCACGAACATTTCCACCCATCCCTATATATCATCTGACCCCAACCCTTCAGACCATCTTCAATATTCATCTGTCGTCAACATCGACCAAGAAAAAAACGGACATACTTACATTTATATATCGTATACGGAGTGTAAACGAGAAACAACGAACAGTACCTGCAAGAACAAATATAGGCGTCACAGATCACCACAAGAATCAAGACACGCACAAGAACCATGTCTGTGTAGTCGGCAGCGACCAATTCCTAGATACCAGCTCTGTCGTCGTGATATTGGTTACTGTTATGCACAGAGAAACCACCTGTCCAGCCAACAACGAGAGTGTGAAGCGCCTAGTCCATAAACTCTTCCACCTAGTCCAGGAACTGCTCGTGAAAGCAGCTGGAGAAGAATAGTCGATCGGAGGGCGAACGGAGTTCCGAGGGAGGTCGCTTGTGTGTACGACTGATGGCGCTGATCCCGTATCCTCAAAATCGCGCTTGTGATCAAGAGACTCGGACATGGTGTCTCTAGTAGTACTGCGATCGTCGACACTTGGTCCTGGAATTGAGAACATCGAGCTTTTTATGGGCCCTCAGGCTTTCACTGATTGCACACACCCAGATGGCAGCTCAGGAACGTGTGAGACAGAACCCACCTGGACATGTACTTTGCCAGGTGGCAGCGCGTGGTACCTTTCATTTTTTTAATGGGGGTAGTGTCAACCAATCAAATTCGTTTGCTGGTTTATAGCGGTGTTCTTAGTGTCCTGTTATAGCCTATAGGCAGCCACGGGAAGACAGTGTATGTAGTATGGACTACACTGGGCACATGATTGGCGACCCTCTTGTCAAACTATATCAGAGAAAACGCAGCGGCACTCTGTGATATTGCCAATGTCCATAATGATCGCATGTGCCTGACATATCCCAAACAGTTGAACTGGGCCCTACTAAGCCGAATGCCATGTGCCAAGCATTGCAACCTGGCAAATGTCAATGATCTCACAGCCCCAGGTACCTTGAACTTTCTCTAACATGTCATTGCCTTCTCGTGTATAAACGTCCATGACGATTAACTCGTCTGAATTTGATCCGCTCGACGACAGCAGGCAGGTTCAAATCGGTAATCTCAAAACGACCGCTAGTCTATTATATTATAATAGGCTATCGTTTATCCGCAAAGAAACGCTAAGAAGGCATACGTTAACTCGCAGCACACAGAAAAAAATACCGCATCACTCACCTTCAAATGTCGCAACTGCCACGTGCACGTAGCAATAAGCACTCCAATCTGTAACACGCTATACCAAACAGCCTTCGAATTCGTATTCTCACTCAAGTTTCGGAAATCCGCCTCCCTCTCCCGCTGGTACTGCTGTTCCCTCCGAATTTCGTCAAGTTTTTGGTTGAGGTCGCGAAGTTTGCTGGAAAGTTCGCCGATGTGAGTACGGTCGCTCTCGATGTCTGGTTTCGTGGATCCTACGACGATGTCGAGATAGAGCTTGATGTGCGTGCTTGACCACCACGATGTGTAGTTGGTGGAGATGCAAATGGAGTGGTCGCCTGCTTCGTGGGATGTGAATGTGAAGCGACCGTCAGATGGACCTCTCGTCTTTGTGACGACGTGCGATGTTTCCATTTCCTATTGGCAAAAACTGCGTATGAGACGTGTTGTCGTAAAGGCGCCTTTGGGACGTACCTCCACTTCAACTATGATACCTAGTTCCTCATTCAGAATGTATTGTTGTGTGCCGTCACTCCACTCTAACGCTCTGTAGTGCCCTATGACGGAAGGTAAGACATTCGAGCTGCTCCTGACCGGTGACGAAGACGCTTACCCTCGACCACCGTGTCTGATGGTAGCTCTTCCACAAAACATCGCTTTTCGTTTGCATCCAAGTAAAAATGAAGAGCATTGACTGTCGTTATTAAGAGAAAGAAAAAGGGCAGAAGCACCGAGAGGCGAAACGCGAACATGTTGTTCGGCGAGCGGATGAAGTTCAGGAAGAAGATTGGTGGTCACGTGTGGCATACTCAGAAATTTCACGTCCTGCGAATCATTTCATCATTCATACCATGGCTCCCGCACGTTTTCAACCGTCGTCTATCAAAAACAAGATAAAAAGAGAAGAGGTTACGCGCAAGCTGAAAAAGAGCAAAAACCAGGCCAAACTACAGAAAAGGCTTGATCAGGCCAAGGTCGAAGCCAATGACCCGGCAGCAAAGAAAGTACGTGTAACGATCCATCTGTACCTCCTTTCGCAGCTGACTTTGCATCAGAAACGTATTTCAGAAAATGTGCCTCGCACGCTCGATAATACCCGCGAGGCAGACCCAGCTATGCTCTCTGCAGCTGGCCCTTCGTCTGCCCAGCATGTGGAATTTTCTAATGATATCGCATCCGATCCTTTTGCGGACTATTTCAACTTCACGCAGGATCCAACCATCCCCCCGAAGGTTCTCATTACAACCTCTGCAAAAGCATCGAAGGGCACCTATGAGTTTTGTGATGAGTTGGTAGGAGTATTTCCAGGTGCCGAATTTATACGGCGGAAAAAGGGAAAAGGCTTTGAGATGGGTCGAATAGCCGGTTGGGCTGCTGGTCGTGGTTATAAGCATCTGCTTGTTGTGAACGAGGATATGAAGAAGCCAAGTTTGTTGTTTCGGCCATCTTTGCTACGGAAGACTCATGCATTGTCCAGACGCTATCACCTTGGTGTATCTCCCTAATGGTCCCATGGCTTATTTCAAACTTACATCTATAGAACTCACAAAACAGATATATGTGAGCTCGCCTTCCATCTCATCACTGGTGCAGAAATAACGCACCTGTATTCAGGGTCACGCAAGAGCAACACCACACAACCCCGAGCTCGTTCTCAATAATTTCTCAACTACTCTGGGACACAATGTTGGACGAATGTTCCAGACTTTATTCCCGCCATTACCTGAATTCCAGGGGCGACAAGTAGTCGCGCTTCACAACCAGCGTGACTTTTTGTTTTTCAGACGTCATCGGTAAGGGTGATCACAAGAATTGAATGAATAGGCTTCTCAACCGAAACGATTAGGTATGCTTTCCGCTCGCCTGAGAAAGTGGCTCTACAAGAAATCGGGCCTCGCTTCACTCTGAAACTTCGATGGCTCAAAAGAGGGCTGCCAGCAGTTCAAAACTTTGGGGCATCGCCGGATGCCCTAGAGATCAGTGTCGGGACCGAGGAGTTGCCTGGACCTTCAGAAGAAACGCCCATACCAGAACAAGACGAGGAATCGGAGATGAGGCCGCTTGAGCCCGTCCCAGTGAGCAACCCTCCGAAAGATAACGAATATATCTGGCGTTGGAAGGTAACATGCTGTCCACTTGTCCACGAACATTGTGCTAATTGTTCTGTAGCCTGAGCTTGAGACGACAAGAAAAACATTTTTCTTATGATGCAAAATATCAATATCTCTCTTTGGAACAGTGGAAGATCCTTAGGAGATTATAGTACTTGTTGTAGTTCGTATCACAATCGGTTTGGATTGTCAATGATCCCTGTTAGTCCATCTGTGATACTGCGAAATAAGAGCAACGAAAAAATCATTATCTGAGATCTGAGATATTACACGATGACTATTTGACATCACAACATTTTGTCAA